CTCATTCTGCAGGGAATGAAGAGGTGCGAAGACTCTTGCCTCTTGCTTCATTTGTGCAGCAGTGTTGTGGTGTAACCCGGCAGGCAGCTCAGCACCACACAGCTCTTCACTCACTTCCCCACAGTGGGATGGGGGAGAGAATCAAAAAAAAAAAAAAAAAAAAATGCACGGGCTGAAGTAAAGACAGTTTAATTCAGCTCCCTGTTTTATTTTTCATCATGATGTCCTATGGCATGAAATATCCCTTTGGCCTCTTTGTGTCCCCTCCCAGCTTCTTGTGCACCCACAGGCTATTTGCTCGCAGGGTGGTATGAGAAGCTGAAAAGTCCTTGACTTAATGTGAGCATTGCTCAGCCACAACCAAAACAGTGGCATGTTATCAACATTAATTTTCTCCTAAATCCAAAACATAACACCACAGCAGACACTATGAAGAAAATTAACTCTATTTCAGCTGAAATCAGGACAAGCAGTTCCCCAGAGGCCTCTGGGAAGCCCTTAAACGTTCAGACTTTGTACGCGAATGCAAAAACACTTGCTATCAGCTGTAATCACTAGGATTTATCACTGAGGGAAAAATGTCTGAATGCCTCTGAGATCCAAGTCACAGGTTTAGGGCCAGGAACTGCTGGAGAAGCCAGCAGAGACTCATGTGCTTGTACATTAGGCTTTTCTCATTTATGAGATTCACAGTTTTCCATGTATCCCACAAACTTCTCGTGAGCATTAGATGTACTACTGAGACACAAAGGACTGGATCGTCCTTAGTTATGCACCTTTTTCTCATTCTAACAAATTAATAAAAGTAAGGGGGGGAAACTGTTCATTGCCTGGTATAACAGACAGAAAACAGTAAGACAAAAAAGCGCAAGTCCCTAAGAAGAACAACTTACAAACAATGAGACCGTAAACGCCATTACTGTTTCCAGACTAAAGGCATTGAGCCAAAATACCAGTGAGGACCCTTGTTATCCTTTTTCCACAGCACAAGCTTTTACCGGTTTCACGGATGAATTAAAAGAGCAGTATTGATCCACACTGGCTGTCCTTTTCAGTGCAAACATTGCACTGGACAGGCAGGCACACAGTGTTTCTTAGCTTCAGAAGAATATACAAGGCAGCATCCTTTTCTGCAGTTTATTCAGGGAAAAGGTGCTACTAAAATGTCATGCTGAAACCATCATTCAATGCTTGTCACAAGCTAAGGCTAAAACACCAAGGACTAACTTAAATTTGGGCTGCAGTAGTGAGTTGGTTATTGTCAAAATCAAAATCTAACTTATGGCTCTATTTGTTCTTCTTTCAATTGGCAATAAACCGAGTTCATAAAATTACAAAGGAGCTTTGGAATTGTAATCCAGTTAAATCAGCACTTACAGGGATTCAGATAAGTGAAGAATTTTAATTAAAAAAAAAAAAAAGTACTGTAATAAAAGTCTTCTTTGGGACATCCTCCCCACCACTACCCTTTAAACATACTGATATACTGACTGACAGCAATCATACACTAAATTTATATTGTACATTTATCATCTCACAAACTACGAGGTTGATTCTTTTCCCACTAAAGTAAGAAGTGAGAATCCTCTTTCCCTTTGCAGCACTTTTTGCCCCTATATCAGGGAGATGTCTGTGCAGAAGTCTGCATGGCAGTTAACACCACTGGAAACAGCCTCAGCTCTTCTCAGCGCAAGGGGAGGAGGTAGAAGAGAAGCAAGGAGCAGCATGAAGCTATCAGAAGCACCTCCAATTTTTGGCAAACTATCCAGGCTGTGTCTTAACTCCTCCATGCAAATCAAAACTGTTCATAGATTTTTCCTGAGTTGGTTATCTGCCTCCCACAGGTAACTTGCTTGTAGTTACATCAACATCAGCAATCAATTTGTTAGGCTCAGAGAAAAATAAAATGCAGAGGAATATAAAATGCCCCCTATATGGGGCAGCAAATTGCTAATATAAAGTTGTACAACACTGTTACATAGAAGACACTTTTTTGTCCATAAATCTTGTATCATTTTATTAACTTTAAACTGCTGTGAGGCAGATGCCTTCAGCTCCGTGCTTTGGAAGCAGAACCTGAGACTTGAGGGGTGACCCGTTCAACATCACACAGCAGGCCAACATGTTCTACTTCAACATCTCCAAATCTATAAAGTCTCTTTGCTTTGCTTTTTATGAGAACTGAAAGAGGAGAGAGACCAGCAACCCTCTGCACAGGTTGAGCCCCAAGCCTGTCATTAGAACAGCACTGGGCTGGAATGAATAAGCACATTGAAGAATTAACCAGTTCTTAAGATATCAGCTGGCATCTAAATTGCTTGTCCACACTGATGAACAAATGACAAAAATGTGCAAAAGTGGAGGAAAGAATAGGGAAGCAAAATTCTTTCTAACTCAGATGATAAGTAACCTGTCCTCCTTAAACCCGCCACACGTTGTTCTCTCCATGTGCAGTTAGTTGGTTCCCTCCCCATCCCCCACCTGGAAAAAAATAAAAAAAAAAAAAGGGTCATCTATTAGTCTTTACTCCAAGACAACCTTCTTCAGAGCACATGTGACTCCAACAAAGTAGATGCATCTTCAGAGCACACACACCTTGCCAGCACAATCTGCTGGGCAAGAGGGGACAACTACATTTCATTTCTTGCTGCTGCTGAATCAGAAATATGTGGCAGAACAGATATCAGTGAGGGAAACAATTTAGAGAAATTAAACTGAATGAAGCCTTCCACTTCCAGTCCTCTACACCAATGTTACTAAGAACTTACCCACTTTAGATGATCATGCTTGCTTCAGATTTATCCTGGCTCCTTGCAGAGCAGTGCATGAAGTTCAAGGTCTCAGGCTTTATCTGTAACACTGCAAATGACCTGATTCCAGAGCAAAGAAAGCTCCAGAACAAGAACATTGGCCACATTGGATTTAAGGTAAAAAGCTAATCTTTCCAGAAGACAAATCTATTTTGAAAATAGGATGAGTGTAGAATGAGCTCTCTCAGAAACTAAGGACCAACACAGTCAACACCATCTTCCTTTCCAAGCAAGATACATATTTTAAAGGCATCCCTTGTAGAGCAGAATAATAAATAAAAATAAATATAATATAATAAATTCAAGCATCAGATACAGAAAAAAAAAAAAGAGCAAGTTATCCACAAATAAGAGATGACAGCAGTTTAACACACTATTGTTAGGACTCTAGATATATTATGAATGATAGGAAGACAAGACAGAATAGAACAGATTCAAATAAAATGGGAAATAGAGTATAAAGGGCAGAAGTGTTATTAAAATATGGAAAAAATAAAAGAGCCCAGAGGGAAATGATGGAAAAGAACAAATGGTGGAGAAGCAAATTGGGGTCATGGCTTGGAGCAGCTGAACACCTGGCATCATCTGGTGCAGAACCATTGACTGTAACAGGTCAAGGACTGCTGCTCTCAGCTGAGGGTTTGGCCCTCTGCAGTGAACCAGACAGAGGCAATCAAACAGGCCTGGCCTTCTGGGGGTGTTCCACCCTCAGGAAATAAAGAGGCGACACAGGAAGAGAATAAGGATGATTCCACAAATGACAAAGGAGAAAGCAAAGTCTAGACAAGGAGAAAGAAACTAAACAGAAAAGAATGGAAGGAGAACAAGAAAGAAGAACAAAGAGATGGGGCAAAAGAAAGATAAGAAGCAAATATCCACAGGTTAGTGGAATACATTTCATTTATTCATGAGCACTGTTTTATTATGTGTCCTTGGCAGACATCCCATAACTGAAAATTTGCAAGGCAGAGAATGATGCGAGTTTAGAGACTTGAGCCTCGTTTCTAGTCATTAGCCTTGGGCAGGTCTTTTTAATATACGCGCCCCAGTAGCAAGTAAACAAGTTCTTTAAATCAAGAGCCTTTTGACAGGAGGCGCACTGTAAACAAATGGACTTAGCCACAGCCAGAGAGGGATTTCGGGAGAAAAGGCAATAAGCAAGCCTGGCCACAACCTGTTCATGAGTAACAAAGAGGACAGACAGGCTGTTGGGAAAGACATTGCCCAACAGGCTGTACTCTGCTGCTCACTCTGACCCTAGCTTGTGTCAGAGCATCTGTCTTTCATGCATGCTCCTGGCTAACTGGCATTTATTTTACCTGGAGTGTGCAGAGCTCAGCATGCCCAGCTGGCACGGAGGATGCTTGCAGTGCGCAGCCCAGGAACGGTGGCAGCGGTGTTTGGCAGCTGTCCCAGCACAGAGGCAGGCACCGTGTCCAACACCAGCTTCGCTGGGGGCTCCGCCAGAAAAAAGTGCTCACCCCTGGCACATGCATCAAGGCTGAATGGGGAAAGCCCAGCCATCTCCATTCCCCATATGGGTATAAGGTGCCTCCACAGCTTGGTTCAGTCGCTGCTGAACTTCACTTTGCATTAAGGCTGAGCCTGCCCCATAGTCCTGGCACTAACAGTTAATGGCAGGTTTTACTTTGCCTGTAGCTGTAGTTCCAGAACTAAGGTGATATCAGTGCCTTAATACTGATTTATCATCTGTTCAGGTTTGAGGTGCTTATATTCTTCTTGCCCTGGGGAATTTGCTAAGTCCTAGAGAGGATGAGCAAAGAAATACTTTACTTAGAACCTCTCTGTTTGTTCAAAGGACAAGATGTTTTAAGAAAATATCCAACCCCACCAGCCTTTGGAATAACTCTAAGGATAACACCAGAGTTTGCATCAGTGCAACTGAAAACCTCTATTTGTGCTTTTGCCTTTTGCTTTTACAAATGGGGAGCTGAAGGGCTCCTGCCATTTTTGTGGGTTGTCTTAGTGCTAAGCCTGGTAAGACACAGATCTTTAGATATTGTGTTCAAGGAGTAAAGTCTCTTCAAAAATAGCATTGATGTCTTCTGCTATAAAAACATATAGGTTTTGCTTATTTTAAGATCAATATAAACAAATCATTTCAGCCTGTATAAAGAATGCCTAACAGAAAAAGTTAGGAACCAGGAAATTTAGATATTATTTCTGTACCTTTCCGATTTTTTCAATTCCTGCAATTGAAAAAAAAAAAAAATGGAAAAAATGTTAGTGTTTCTTTATAAAAAATAAGTGTTTTGAAATTGACAGATAACAAGCACCACACAGAAGCTAGGTATGAATATTGTCAGTTAAAGCTTTTTTATCATCATTTAGCTACCTACTTATATATAAATCATTTACCCAATTTCAGAATATAAAATCCTCTTTGCCTATCCACAGTGCTGTCTCAGCAAAAGTTTGGATACAGAATACACAAAGTTTTTTCATCGTTAACCAATTGTCTCCCATTGCCCCAAGTACTACTTCTATTAGTGGAATTTAGAAAAGTAGAGGGCAACAAGAAGGGGATGAAGTTCTCTATTTTTAAAAAACAAACAAACAAACAACAAACATTCTCATCACAAATGATTACAGATCTCAACATCACTGCAATTGGCAACTTCCACCTAGTAGTGAATAACAAATATAGCCCACAAAGTTTAAGCTAATAACAAATACAGCCCACAGTATATAGCCCACTTCTGCTACCCTTTAAACCTAGGACATCAACATTAATCAAGTCCTGCCAAAACTGGGGCTGATTTAACCCTAACTGCTTTGAGCAGAGAAAGATTTTGGAAAATGCTAACTGAGGAAAGTAAGAAAGCATGACTCAGGACATGCCTCTGAAAATGAGACCTTCTCAAGATATCATAGACTCCCAGGATTCGACTCGCATACACCCCCTAAAAACCCTGGCTCCTGCACAAAGTGTACTCCTGCCTCCTTGATCCTCCTAGGATGTTAGTCTGAATAACTTATGCCATCTATTGGCCTAGACCTGCGACAGATGCTCTGAGGAGAACTTTAATTCTGGGAAAGTGACTGTGTTAAAAGGGATCTGACAGTAGATCTGTAAATTCTGCTAATGGAATCAATACACTGCCGCTGCTCAGATCTTGAGGTCTACCTTCTCCAGCAGATGTGCTGCTTCAGAGCCCAGCTCCCAGAAAAACCAGCAGTTGTGGTCTGGTTCAGGCAAAAAAAAAAAAAAAAAAGAGATGGCATTGGCATAGGGCTAGCACACACTGCCAAGAAAAGCCAGAAAATGAGCAGTGAGGATTTTCACTGTCTTACAGAAGCATGTAAGAAAAGTCTTTATTATAAGAGAAAGGCCCTTCAAAATTCCATTGGATCTAAAACCAGGGAAACTATCTCCAACTTACTAAGTCTGCTTTAAACCAGCCACGCAGTGAGAAGCCACTTCTCTCGCCTTTCTGTACCCACAGTGGCTACCGCAGTGATTTAGGGCTTCTCCAAGCGAGTTTACTTTTTTATCTAAATGTGTTTTTAAAAGGCAAGGCAGAGCTCTGCAATGCGAAAGGGACGCAGAGCCATCTCTATTGATCCGCTCCCTCGCAAGCCATTAGGAAGCACCCGCGGAGAAGTCGGCGAGGAAACACGCGGCCGCCCCGGCATCGCCTCGTCCCCTCCGCGGCTCCAGAGTGGTCCCCACCTCCGGGGCTGCTTCTTTTGGGGGGGACGGATTGCTCCGCGAGCGACTTCGGAGGAGCCGGGGCTCCCCAGTACCAAGCTGCAGCATCCCTCCTCCTCATCCTCCTCATCCTCCTCCTCCTTCTCCTCCCCCGGCTGTTTGCCCCGCAAAGCACAAGGAGAACCCGTCGCACCTCCGGCACTGATCTGAGCCATGCCATGCCATGCCATGCTATGCTATGCTGTGCCGTGCCGTGCCGTGCCGTGCCGTGCGGAGCAGTGCGGAGCCGTGCCATGCTGCCTACCTGGAGCTGCCCGGCTCCTCTGCTTGCCCCGCCGGGCTCCGCCGGGCTCCGCGCAGCGGGCGGTGGGAGGGGAAGGGAGGCGGCAGCGGGCGGGATCAGGCGAGTCCCCACCCCGGCCCCAGGAACCCCCCAGCCCCCCCCCTCCGGAGCCCGGTTCCCGTCCCGGAGCCGCAAAGGGACCGGCACCTTCCCGGCGGGGCAGCTGGAGCCGCGCTGCTGCCGGTTACGGGGGTCCCGGGGTGGGGGGGGGCAGCACTGAGAGCGGGGGACATAAATTGAGGCCGGGGGGTCCTGAACTGACGCTGGGTGGTCTACACTGAGACCAGGGGGTCCTGCACAGCGCCCCAGGGGTCCCGCATTGAGACTGGGAGATCCCGCACTGAGATCGGGGGGTCCTGCTTTGCACTCAGGGGTCCCTCATGAGTGCTCACGGAAAACCACTGTGGAGGTCCTGCTCCTCTCCCAGAGAGCTCCTGCTTTTTCCCCGTGTGCCACACCGCACCCGTGGGGTCCCGTCCCTGAGGCACGCGTGGGGACCTGCCCGTGCCACCCACCGAGCAGTGCCCCCCGCTCCCACAGCCCAGGAGCGGGGAGAGGGGCAGCCAGTACGGCAAAGGGGACAACGCCGAGGCTGCCTCTGGAGTCCCTCCAGTATGGGCTGCGGGCTCCCACCTTCCTGCTTTTGGGCACCGCTGGTGGTGACAGCACCCCGACAGCACAAACGGCATCGATCTGCTATCGATTTGCTGCCACCAATGTGCTCAAGGGGAGAATGGGTGGCTTCGCCTCAAGGTTCTGCAGGGGTTTCTCTTGGTGTCCTATCCCCAAATCTGTGTTCGGTCTCATTTCTGCCTTAGTGAAAGCCAAAGTGTAACAAGAAGTCAGGCCTGCTCGGACCATACACAACAGAATATTTGGGCAACCCCACCATTGTTCCTTGGATTGAGGAGATTGTGCCTTCGCTTTCTGTACTTTTCATAAACTTTTCCAAACTTTTCATCAAAAAGAACCTTGAAGACATCAACATTACCATAACCTATTTCAGGATTTTTGGGGGAAAACAAAAACAAACAAACAAACAAACAAAAAACTCCATATGTTTTTTTTTTTTTTTTTTTAAATTAGTCCCTCTTTAAAATTAAAAAAAAAAAAAAAAAGAAAAGTCACAAAATAATGTGATTATGGCAAACATTCTTTTTTCCTTTTTTTTTTTTTTCTTTTTTTTGTAGAATTCATTACATGTTTTAAGCCAAAGAATTCAATTTAACAAGGTTGTTCAAGAATAACCTCTTGCTGTCAAGTGAACATAAATACTCACCATGTTACTGTGTTCCTGGTGATAATTTTGAAGTCTTACAAGTGCACTGAGCAGTGAAAACTGAGGAGAGTGGTGATCCTAAGACAATGTATTTTTCTCTGGTTGTGTTTTCTGGTGTTCTCTTAAGTTGCTATTGCTGTGCAGAAAGGGTTCTTTTTCTTCCATGTCATGGTATATATTTGCATTAATAAAAACTTGTTTATCATCTTCCTGTTCCATTAATCAGAGAAGCTTTAATCACAGCAGAATATGGCTTGCCCAGAAATTATATGAACCCGTCAGTGCTATGCACAGCAATCTGCATTTCTGCTATATGTTGTTGTTTTTTTGTTGTTTTTTTTTTTGAAAAGCCTAATTCACCAGCAGTATATTAAGATCAAAAGCAATGACCTGCACAGAATGACATTTAGTTACAGAAAGTTTGCAAGAAATTAAGGGGCTGAGTGCAGAGTGACTTTCTCAGAACTATCCAAATACAAGAATATGAATGGAATTCTTCTCGAAGGCAAATGAGGTCATCTCAGTGGATCATTTAGAGATCTTAGCATAAAATTTGAAAGATTGTGCAGAAGTACTGTCACTGACTTTGGAAATGATACTGCAGCACAGCAGCCCATCAGATGGTTACAAAACCTGAGTCATCACAGGTGAGATGCTGGAAACTGCCCAGGAAGGGGAGCAGCTGCTCTCTGGGCTGCAGGGGCATCTAACACCTGCTGAGATCTGTGATAGTAAAGGGGGATGTGGTGGGCTCATTGTTCAAGTCTACAGTCCTGGTGATCCCTGCCCTTAGCCAACATTGTAGCCACTGGATACCTCTCATGGTTTTGGTCTGCCCACCACAGAGGGCAGAAATGTGCTGCCTTGGCATCTCACCCAGCCTGCCAAGCCTGAACCTGCATTGCCATAAGTTGCAGCTCCTTACATCAGCATGATCTTGCACTGCTCTTTTCTGGATGACAGGCCCAGCCCCTGGGGGCAGCACATCTAGAAATGTCAATTCTCTCCTCCCAGTGTTTTGCAGATCCAGACGTCTTCTCTTCTTCATCTGCATCAAGAAGCATCACAAGACTAAGGAATCACATTTATTTTTGTATTTGATGCATCATGGCTTATTTCCACATAAACAGTGCTTGAGCACTGATCTGTCTGAAGGAGCATCTTCCCTTACAGAGCATTTTTTTCATGTGCTTCCACTAAACCACAACTCCCCTAAACTCTGATCATGCTGTTACATAGAGGGCTGATTTGAGGTTTTTGGCAGGTTTCTACATCTTCATTTGAAAACATGCCCTGGAATTTGTTTGTCTTGCTCATCTGGAAAAGGAGAGAGGTCATTTCTAGTTTCCTGATGCAGTTAAATTTATTGGCAGCTGATGGTGGTGGTGGGCATGAACTCAACTGCTAGCAATGAGGAAAAGAGACGGAGGGAAATCTAGGCTGTTAACACTGTCATCGTTGTTGCTCTGCAGAGGTTTATAATATTGGAAAATGGGGTTAATTGTTGCTTTCTGGCTTAAAAGGATTGTACGATGAAGACTGCTAGGATAAGTGGCATATATAAAGCTGGCCCACATTATCTTGTAATCTAGCCAAAGGTCAAACAGAAAGATTTGTATTCTGAAACATATCATTCTAAAGTGCCCAGGCTAGTTTTTACAAGTTTTAACTCCTTCAAAGCTACTGGTAATAAGTTAACTTAACTTATTAACTATTAAGTTAACTTAATAAGTACTGGTAATAAGTTAACTGTTGTTTTAAATCCCTATTAAGATGAGAAGACTTTCACCAGTAGGGGGAATGGAGTGAAAAGTTTGCACTAGCAAACATATGGTTGCACACTGGAAGCAATTGTGACCCCTGTAAAATGGCTTACATCCTTTTTATGGCTCTCTAAAGCATGCAGTGATCCCGTTCACAGTCAGGCTGCCACTGGCTAATCTGAACTGGAAACAGCAATGCCTTGAGCACTGTTGTGCAGGGGTTTGTGGTGTTTATGTAATTCTGCCATCCCTAGGGGCTGGCCATTTTTTCCCCTATTTGTTTTCTTCCCTGAATTGCCTTCATTCAACCAAATTCTGTCAACACTTACACCAGTGGGACCCTATTAAAGGCAAATGGGCTCAATGTTCTTCCTTCACAAATGCTCATAATTTAAACTGCACAGCTGTGGGACAAAGTAGGAGTCACTCTGCCTTAGGTACTTTCTTGGGGAGAAAAAAAAAATAAATTACAATGGCAATTCCTCTGTCAGCAAGAGCTGAATCTGATCTGTTCTGCTCACTACAATCCCACCCACTCTGCTCCAGCCTCCAAGGGGACATCACAGGGACTGTGATGTTTCTTCCACACCCTGCAGCACTTGCCACAGCCACCACACCAGTCAGCACAGGAAATTGTCACTTGCGGCAGAAGAACCCCTATGAATCACAATTTTTCACTTTCCCATTGACTTACACGTTTTTGAGTGCAGGATTTCAGGTTTCTGGCTGGATGCAAATTGTTTCCTTCAGTTCAGTTTTACTTGTGGTTTGCACCACTCCACATAGTTTTTGTCCTCCCACCCACAAAAATCAGAGGAACTACTTCTATAAGATCATGTTTTTACATTGTCACAAGTGAGAGGTAGATTAGGAAAAGAGCATTTCTATACTTGTGTTTGTGGCTTCAGTCTGGGGACTATGATCCTTTGAATTAAGTAAATTGGTATGTATTTATTATGTTTGCTATTGAGTTCAGGCAGACAAACTTTCTTCATAAATGTGTGGAGTTCCTCCCTATTTAGTTTGAGAAAGTATCTTCATACAGTACAACACAGAACTTTCAAACCACTAAATTGCATATTTCCAAGATGAGAAAGTATTTCCAAAAAGATATTTTAAAGGGTTTGTTAAACTGTGACTGGATGAAAAGTTACATCTCCTGCAGAAGCAGAATTTGGAGCTCAAGAGTTTTTACTGTTTTTTTTTTTTTTTTTTTTTTTTTTTTTTTTTTGTGAGTTTTTGTTTGTTTGCTTGTTTGTTTAGTGCTGAGTTTGCTAGTAAACTCAGAGGAGAACACTGCTAGTATTTGAATTTAAAAGCATCTGTAATTGTTTCTAGGAATATGTGAAGAATCCCAGACCTTCAATCAAGCAGAAATTCATCTATGCAAGTTATTCACTGGTTACTGGGGTTTTGGCACATTTCTTAGGTAGACAAGTCAAAGGTATGTGTGCATGGAGCATCTTGCATTTGTAGAAAGTATGTCTTCCATTTATTCTGAAAACATATTAATGCAGAAGCTTGTTTAATAAAAGGTGATGAACTGCAAATTACTGAATTCACTGAGATAGATAGGAAGTCGCTGGTACTGTTCCTAACTCAACCTAATCTGAAATTACAACGTGACATCCAGTAGAATAGGTCAAAAGTAGGACCATGACAGTACAATATATAAATGACAACTCACGTGGAAATGTCGAATGCAGCAGCTATCATTACACAGGCTACTAATACAGAAATTACACACTGGATATATAATCTGGCTTGCCTGTCATAACTGATTTTTTGCTTAACAAGAAATTCACTGGGCTTTACAATATTTTTTCTTTCTTAAAGGAATAGTGTGAAAGAATAGCTATAGAGATAAAAGAAGATGGGATCTACCAGTAAGAGAAACACATGTTAAGAATGGTGAAGGACCATATGCAATCTTTTATTTCTCCTACAGGTTTATAGAGGGTTTGGGGGTTGTTGTTTTATTTG